ACCAGACAGACCAGACAGGACTTGACAGCCTTCCTCTTCCTCCCAGTGCAGACATCACAGGCCACATCTTCAGCTCCAGCATAGCAGTGATCAGCAGCAGCAGCTTGGAGTCCAGTCTTCTTCAGCTGCTCCACTACAACTGCTAACATGGTGTTTTTCTCCAGGACAGGCCTCGGGGTGAAAGTCTTCCTCCACTGAGGGCAGCTGTAGATTCCCTTCTTGTCCTCTTCATCCCAGTGGGCTTTAATACAGTCCATGCAGTAGCTGTGTCCACAGGAAGTAGTCACCAGATCCTTCAGCAGATCCAGACACACGGAACAAGAGAAGGTTTCTCGGTCCAGCTCAGCTCCTTTCTGCGCCATTTTCCCTCTCAGCAGCAGCGACTCTGTGAGTTTCTCTTCCTGGAAAGTGAAACTAGTTTGAGCTGTGATCTCCACATCATGTGTTCCTGCAGCTCTCTCTCTGCACCATGCAGGTCACACCCATCTTCACAGTGCAGATCTGAAGGAGAGGGAACAAGGAACCATGAGGTCAGAGTGGAGCTGCTGTGTTAGAGAGCAGGAAGAAGAGGGAGGGCTCATCAGGCTTGTGCTTATTCCAGGAAGAGGAGCGCTCTGAAGCTCACAGCGTTTCACCCTTTTTACAGCGGAGCACATTTAAAAGCGTCTGAAGCTCTGCTCACTTTTCAGCCGCTGATGTCTTGTTGGGATCTCTGGCTTTGGAGAGTTCACTTTCAATCTTTAGCTCTTCTGTTCTCACAGAGTCTGATGAAACATTTGAACGACAATAACTGAGATGCAGTCAGTGAAACAGAGGAAACAACCACGAGGGAGAAGCCAGCAGCTTTTAAAATATTGTTGAACAACTCTAAGTAGTTTTGTAGATTCAGAATGTAGTTTTGACCACAGCACGTAACATCTGCCTTCACAATGGAGGCTCTGAACATGGCCCACTCAGATTCCCAGATGTTCTCCATACCTAATCCGTCTCCTCTGGTGTTGTGACGCCTCTTCCCTGTGTGCTGACTAACAGCATTAGAAAATGTCCCTGTAGCATTCTCTGGTTAAGAGCTGTCCTCATTCTCTCTCATCTGCATGTAAAGTCTTTCTGTTGAACTGGATTTATGGCCGATTGCTGCCACTCACAGAAAACATCTTTATATTCTCATTCTGGATGTTGACGAAGCACGGAGCAGTGACAGGTTTAGCTGAGCCGAGCTAAAGCAAACTCACCTCTCGAGCCGAAGAATCAACTTGTAGTCGTGTTTTATGAAGTTTGCACAGAGACAGAAGTTTATAGGCAGAAACAGATCAAAGTAAAGCGTCTGTAAATGTCGAGTTTAGTTAATTATAAACTACAATTTTCCCTAAAATGTTCAGCAGCTAAAAAACAAAAATCAGTTTGAATCCAACTTTTAACTGAATACAAAACAATGAGTGAAGGTTTAGAGGCAACAACAGCCTCAGAAAGCGTCAAAACATATTTTTAATGTTTTTTTTTTTTTACTAAAACATCTGCTAACTGTTGTCTGTCTCTAAGTGTAGCCCTGTGATAGACTGGTTACCTGTCCAGGTGAGCCTGCCTTCACCCCAAGTCGGCTGGGATAGACTCCAGCCCCCCATAGATTAAGCGGCGTATAGATAATGGATGGATGGATCTGCTAACTGACTGTAGCGGCTCACACAAATGAAAGTGTGTGACTCTGCCGCCCCCATGTGGTCAGAAACAGACATGACAGCTACATGGACAATAAAGCTGAAACTCGGGTAATCGGATGGGGAGTTAATTCTATCCAACCAGTCACTCGTGACACGTTTCGTAGAGTTTTCCAACCTGTTTATTGATCCACGTGGTTTTAAAAAGCGACTCCGACACAACACGGCTCCACCTGGGGATAAAAACCTCGTAAAAACACACACACGCTTGAGAAAATGCAAAAAACCAGACACACAGACGTCATCGTTCAGCGTCACACGGGCCTCGAATAGCAGCTCAGACAGAAAACAGGTGATGGAAAGAGTCACGACATCAAACAGTAACAGGAACACAAACCGTTCACATTCACAGAAACAAGAAATGTTTTAGGGGAATTTCTCTGAAACTAAGATGTCGTGTTTCTGCATAAAACGGGCAAACAGGAAACCACAGCCTGCTTCGTTTAGACGTCTGAAGGTAAAGATTCAGGGTGGCCACAGGAATAAATAATAAGATCTGTTCCTCCTGAACTTCTGGGAGCTGTTTGGGTATCGTACAGTCCAGGACAGCAGCGGAGGAGAGCCAAGAAAACGTACAGCTGCATGTTTCAGCCTCGATCGTTAGAAACAGTCCAGAGAGTCTCCGAGCCTTTACGTTAGCTGTCCCCAGACTGAACCTTCTTCCTCGGTTTTCAGCCGGGACGAAACTCTCTGCAGCTCCCAGGCTTTTGGAAATAAACACAAAAACAAATAGAGCATGAAACCAGCTTCACATCAGAGTTTACATTCAGCTTCTTCTCGTCTGTTCTTCTGAAGCTCTACCAGCGGTGATCCAACACCTTCTACAGATTAATAACACCGTATTTATTCTAAGATGCCGATCAGAAGGTCTGAACATTCTGTTTACAGCAACCTGAGAACGCTCCCGTCTGATGAAGCAGGAATGAGATCACAGCTCGCTTCATGTTTCTGGGTCGAATCTGGAGACAAACTGGCCGAGGCGCTAACACCGACCCGCGGTTCTGATAAACCGGATCATACTTAAAGGCTTCTGACAGGTTTAAGGTGGACGTTAAAAGCCTGGACCTTCTGAAGACAACGACACAAACGAGAGCAAACACACGTCTGAAGTTTGAATGAATGGATCTTGAGGTCGTCTCTGATTCCTCACAGAACCAGCCCGTCCACGGCTGGAGACGCCTCCACAAGTTCTTACTAAGCTGGACTCCGGAGCTCCAGACCGCCTCACAGCTCCGTCTTCGGCCCGGACAGAGGCACCTGCGGCTGGACCTCCTCGTCCGACGACGCCCCCCCTTTGCTCTTTTTCTTCTTCTTCACCTTCTTCTCCTTCTTCTTCTTGGTCTGCTTGTCGCCGCCGTCGTCCCCTCCGTCTCCCCCGTCCTCCCCTTTGCCTTTCCCCTTCTTGCTGCCGCCCTTCTTCTTCTTCTTCTTCTTCTTGTCCTCTGCGATGGCGGCCTGGTCTCCCTTCTTCCTGGCGGTCCACTCCTCCTGCAGGCAGGCTGGAGCAGAGAGACAACCAGAGGAACCGTTACTTTCATGAACATTTATCAGACATCTTTGGGGGCACTGTTTGCACGTCGTTTAACTTTTAATATGTTTTTTTGGAGAATATTTCAGAACCAGTTTTAGTTTTCTTGCATTTTTGTCCCATTTTGTTCATCATTTTTGGGCAATTTCTGTCTTTTGTACATTTTATTAACATTTCATCAACATTTTTGGGACATTTTCAGACGTTTATTTATACTTTTTGTAGATTTCAGTCGTACAAGCAGCAGGTAAAATGTATTTTTTACACTTTATTGCATTTTTGGGCCATTTAATTAATGTTTAAAATCTCTAAAAATACGAATAAAACATCAAAAATTATTGATTAAATATTCATTAAAATTACAACCAACGTTTCGTGGATAGTTTTTAAAAATTTTATTCAACTTTATTAATATTTATCAGACATTGTTGGGGCATTGTTTGCACATTATTTAGCTTTTTATTAATTTTTGGAGTACTTTTCAGAATCAGTTTGACTTTTTTTTTTGCATTTTTCTCCCATTTTTTTTTTGGGACACTTCTGTCTTTTTTTTTCTCCCCTTTCGAACTGCCACCTTATCGTGGTGGGGGAGTTTGTGCGCCCAAATGATCCTAGAAGCTATGTTGCCCGGGGCTTCATGCCCCTGGTAGGGTCACCCATGGCAAATAGGTTCTAGGTGACGGGACAGACAAAGAGCAGTTCCAATCAAAATCAAGGACCGTGACATCGCCCGGTATGGCGCAGCTGGGGCCCCACCCTGGAGCCAGGCCTGGGGTTGGGGCTCGTATGCGCGCGCCTGGTGGTCGGGCCTTTGCCCACGGGGCCCGGCCGGGCTCAGCCCGAAAGGACGACGTGGGCCCGCCCTCCTGTGGACTCACCACCCGCAGAGGGAGCCATAGGGGTCGGGTGCTGAGAGGACTAGGTGGTGGTCGAGGTGGGTTGCCTCGACGGCCTGGTCCGCATACACAGCCTCTGGTTGTTGGGACGTGGAACGTCACCTCGCTGGGAGGGAAGGAGCCTGAGCTTGTGCGTGTCCCTACGCCTTCGGGTTGGGGACAGGTCTCTCACTGTTGTCTCGGCCTACGGGCCCAACAGCAGTGCAGAGTACCCGGCCTTCTTGGAGTCTCTGGGAGGGGTATTAGATAGTGCCCCGACTGGGGACTCCTTTGTCCTACTGGGGGACTTCAACGCCCACGTGGGCAACGACAGTGAGACTTGGAGAGGGGCGATCGGGAGGAACGGCCTCCCCGATCTGAACCCGAGTGGTGTTCTGTTGTTGGACTTCTGTGCTAATCACAGTTTGTCCATCACGAACACCATGTCCGAGCACAAGGGTGTCCACATGTGCACGTGGCACCAGGACACCCTAGGCCGGAGGTCGATGATCGACTTTGCAGTTGTATCATCAGACCTCCGGCCGCGTGTTTCGGACACTCGGGTAAAGAGAGGGGCCGAGCTGTCCACCGATCACCACCTGGTGGTGAGTTGGATCCGCTGGCAGGGGAAGAAGCTGGCCAGACCTGGCAGGCCTGAGTGTATCGTGAGGGTCTGTTGGGAACGGCTGGCGGAACCCTCTGTCAGCAGGGTCTTTAACTCCCACCTCCGGGAGAGCTTCTCCCAGATCCCGAGGGAGGCTGGAGACATGGAGGCTGAGTGGTCCATGTTCTCCTCCTCCATCGTCACTGCGGCCGCTCGCAGTTGTGGTCGTAAGGTCTCTGGTGCCTGTCGCGGTGGCAATCCTCGAACTCGGTGGTGGCAGCCAGAAGTAAGGGATGCCGTCAAGCTGAAGAAGGAGTCTTACCTGTCATTTTTGGCTTGTAGGACTCCTGAGACAGCTGACAGGTACCGGCAGGCCAAGCGTGCGGCAGCTCGAGCGGTCGCAGAGGCAAAAACTCGGGTCTGGGAGGAGTTCGGGGAGGCCATGGAGGAGGACTATCGGTGGGCCTCGAAGAAATTCTGGCAAACCGTCCGGCGCCTCAGGAGGGGAAAGCAGCTCTCCACCAACACTGTTTACAGTGCAGGTGGGGACCTCCTGACCTCAACTGGGGAGGTCGTTGGGCGGTGGAAGGAATACTTCGAGGGTCTCCTCAATCCCGCCGTCACATCTTCAGAAGAGGAAGCAGAGACTGTGGACTCAGAGGCGGACTCATCCATCACCCGGGCGGAAGTCACGGAGGTGGTTAGAAAGCTCCCCGGTGGCAGGGCTCCGGGGNCTTTATATTTGGAGAACCATTGAACCAGCTCTGTCCGACGTGGACTTGGCTTTTGTGTTTTTTATTTCTATTATTATTATTTTATATATATTTTATTATTATTTATATTGAAGTATTTTGTGTTCCTGTGACATGCAGCTACATACGGTTCAGAAAACATCACCACTTCACTCCTGCTTTAACATTTTTTTAAATTTTTTGTTAATTTGCTGAGAAACGGGACTTTTCATCAAAGCTTCACTGTTTTCATCAACATCTCGATTTCCCGCCAAAAAAACGAGAGGCGGTGGAGCAGAAATGTGCTGACCTGAGGTGGAATCAGTGCATTGTGACGGAACAGTATTAAATCCTAGAAACTGGAACGAGAAACCTTTTTTTCTTTTTAAGCTTCATGAACAAGTCCAATGACGAGTTGTTTGAGTCTAATTAACGGACTAATCACTTCCTCCCATCATCTGGAAGTTCCCACTAAATAAACACAAAACAAGCCGACTTGTGGACAACAGTCGCCACCAGACTTCAGCATCAAACACAGGTGAAAACGCGTCAGTGGCTCCAGACCTGAAGTGCTGTTTAGACAGAACACATCCAGAACCATGTTCAAGTCACTGTGAGGCTCACGTGGACACCACAGCAGAGTTACGGCCTCGCCGCCATAAAGCAGGAGGAAGAGTGAAGCATTCACCCACCGCCATAAAAGAACAACGAAAAGAGGAAGCCAGAAAGAGGAAGTGGAACAACGCAGACGTCTGTGCAGGTGAATTAGTGCCTCCATAAACACAGTCTGAACATCAGATGGTCCACATTCAGCACCAACGCTGGTCCACAAGTTATGAATAAATTATAACAGGTGCAAACAACATTTAACTCGTCAGCAGTAAAAAACAACAACAAAAAAAACAGCAAATCCTCACATCTGGAACCAGAACATGATCTGCTCATGTCTGTTCCACCAAGAGTCCAGAAAACAACCAGCAGCACCGGCCAGAACCACAAACTGTCACCGTAAAGATCCAGAACCATCAGGTGTTGGATTCACTTCAGGTCACTGTTATTTAGACACACAAACAAACAAACAAACAAACAAACAAACAAACAAACAAACAAACAAAGTCCTTCCACAGTAAGTAAATACATAAATAAGAGGGTCAAATAATAAGTATTAGAACCTTACACAAATGTGGATTAATCCATATTCAGGCTTTTTATTAATAATAAACAACAACAACAACAACGAGTGATAGAAGCCAGCAGCTCAAGTTCAACGACCTCAGACTGACCCTCCTCTGCTCTACTTGGTAGTTATTATATATTTAAGCGTATTTACTGATTAAACCACAAACAGCCTCACAACAACAACAACAACAACAACACAACAACAACAACAACCCGTACCTGCGCGGTGACCGTGAGGCTCCATCACCGACTCCGTCCAGTGACTGAATCCCGCTGCGGCTCCACAAACGTCCAGATTCGGGTTTCTATCGGACCGTGAATCCAGCTGGAGCCTTTAAACCGCTTCCCTCCTCGGACAGCACAGCACACCGGAGAGGAAACCGTCCGTCCGTCCGTTCGTCCTCCGTGCCTGCGTCCCTGAACAGCCGCTCGCGAGCTCGTTGAGCTAACTAGCTGTTAGCTTCTTAGCATGAGCTAGCGGAAAACATCAAGCGACCGACTGAAGCTTCTTCTGCCGCTTCGTTCTGTGACGCACTTCATCGGATTCTGTCGTAAAAACGTGAATCCTGTTTTAAACAAATACATAAATAGATAATAATAAGAATAGTTAATTTAAAAAAAAAACGCACGGACGAATGCGTGACGTCTGACCTTTGACCTATGCTAAGCCCCGCCCCGCTGGGAACCGTAACTGCGCAGGCGCAATTTTCCCCTGAAACTAAATAGATTTTTTTTTTCGTTTGTCTTTATTTACTTTGGCCATTTTCTTGTTTTGTGGTGGTGGTGGTGGTGGTGGTGTTGTTTTTGAAGGGGGGGGGGGTTGTTTTTGAAAGCATTTTATTAACTGTCTTTATTGTAATTAATGTATTTTATTTAGTTTTCTTTATTTTTGCTCCTTATTTATGAATAAAATAATTTTTTGGTCCCTGACGGGAAATTAGTAGATTAGTGTCACAAAACACATAAAAAAACATCATTTTAAAACTACACACTAGATTAGAAAAATTATAAAACTGAATAATAATAATTTCCAAAAAGGATTTACGATAACATCGAACTCAAATCTCTGCAAACCAAAGTCTGATGTGAAAAATTAAGTCAAATTCATGCCAATAAAACATAATCAGTGGTAAAATTGTGGGTTTGCTTATGATGTAAGTAACGGCATTGGTAACTACAATATTCTAGTTTAATATTCGACGTGTTTTATTAATTTTTTGTTCAGTTTTTGTTGTTTGGTGAAACTCTCATGAAGATGGACNTGAGGAGCTCGGTCACACGGGAGGAGCTCGGAGTAGAGCCGCTGCTCCTCCACGTCGAAAGGAGCCAGCTGAGGTGGCTCAGGCATCTTTTCCGGATGCCTCCTGGACGCCTCCCTGGGGAGGTGTTCCAGGTGCGTCCCACCGGGAGGCCTCGGAGAAGACCCAGGACACGCTGGAGGGACTATGTCTCCCAGCTGACCTGGGAACGCCTAGGGGTCCCCCCGGAAGAGCTGGAGGAGGTGTGTGCGGATCGGGAAGTCTGGGCGGCTTTGCTAAGGCTGCTGCCTCCGCGACCCGACTCCGGATAAGCGGGAGAAGATGGATGGATGGACTTCTGTCTTTTTTCACATTTTATTAATATTTTATCAACATTTTTGGGACATTTTCAGAAATGTATTCGTAGTTTTTGTAGATTTATTTTTTTTATTTACATTTTTGTGGCATTTCAGTAACGTTTAAAATCTCTACGAGTATTAACAAAACATAAAAAACGACTAATACATTCCTAAAATTGTCCAAAACTATTGATTACATATGAATAAAATATGGAAAAGAATCACCTCTACGGAAACAGAACAACATGAAGGAGGAGAAGTCAGAAACGTCTTCTGCGCCGAATGACAGAAAACTAAGAAACTAAAGTTGAATCTCTTCGATTATTTATTTGACAGAAAGTCTGAGCTGCACCGAGGAGTGAAGACTGCTTCGGTTTTAAAGCATCTCTTTATGGCAAACACGATGTTTGAGTCAGGTTTTCTCACAGACACGTGGAGAATGAAGGTTCTCCACCACCTCATGACTTTAAGCTCAGATTTGCTTCATGATCCCAACAGAACAGAACGTCATACGATGTCGGTGGGTTTTTGGGCTTCAGAGGGTTAAAGACGTGACGAGCGGATGTGTGTGTGGAGATAAAGCTGAATGGCAGCGTCTGCCAGCGTTACCTGTGTCCTGTCCTTTGAGAACGTGCTTCTCACACAGGTAGGTGGTCAGGTCCTCCTCCTGGCTGCCCTTGTACCAGTCCTCAATCACGTCCTCGTACTGCTCCACCAGAACGTCGCACTGACAAACACAGAGAACACGAATCACTGCCGGGGTTTGTTTGTGACGTAGACGTGGAGGTTGTAAGACTGAATCCTGGCACGACGTCAGCTTGACTTAAAACACGAAGGATTTAGTTCACTTATTGAGTCCTGATGTCATTCGAGTCGCTATCGGGCAACATGTTCTAGAGCAGCTGCAGTACCTGGTTGTTCCACCAGGGGGAGCCTCTCCCTGCATTGTGGGAGTTAAGCAGCGACGGGACCATGAGAGAGACTCTGAGGAGGTTCATGACCTCCAACCAGAGCTCAGGAGTTAAAGACAAACTGGACAGATGCTCAGTGAAGACGCTAACGTTAGCTCGTGTACGTCGGAGGGAAAAGAGGTCCAACCTGCTTTTTGAGGTCTGCGACTTCTGCCGACGTCTCGTTCCAGAGCTCGTAGGGGATGTCCATCACCACGTTCACGCCTTTGTTCACCAGGCCGTGGAGGGTGGAGAAGGTCTCCGACATGCCCTGCAGCACAGAACCACACACGGAACAAGGTGACCCAGTCTGTACATCGTTGAGTATGTTCAGCTGCAAAATGAGTCCAATCAAAGCTGCTTTTGATGCCATGAAGTGTGCACAGAAAGTAAAACTAAACCACCTTCAAAAAGCTGCACCATCATCTTCTAGATACCCAACATCTGCTGCTTCAACACCTGAACCACCTGAAGGCTCCGAGCTAAACTCATTTTATACCTTTGAAGGTCGATTACGGCTGAAACCGACCTGAAACTAAACCTACAGACGTCTTGTTCTTGTTCGTAGTTTAAAACATAAACATATGATGTAAAGGTGACTCAATTCAATTAAAAATAATCACTAGTGTTAGCAGAGGCTGCAGACAGAAGCTAAGCTAGCTAGCTGTTAGCACCGCTGCTTTATCTCATCGTGTGTCTTCTTGTTTCTCCACTAAGATTCAGCCACAGACTGAATTTCTAAGCCGCTGGAGGATTAAAATGGGTTTTCTTTCATTTTGTAATAATTTATTTTCTTAAATCTGACACAGTCAAAGTTTAAATAAATCACGTCTGTGTGAAAATAAACGTAGCGACACCTTTTCCTGTAGTATTTCAGTTTTCTGATGAAAAACCATTCAGTGAAATTCTGAATGTTTTTTCTTTTTTTATGCATTAAACAAACAGAGAAGCTGCAGGTTGTAAAACTGACAGAAACCAACACTGATACTGACAGCGTTTCCATTCTGGGATGTGGTCGGAGCTTTATTTCAGCGCTAACAGCCAATCCGGGCTCATCCACACACTGACCTTGGCGAAGCGGCTGCTGCCCGTCCTCTCTTTGTGCAGGTTGTACTCCAGCAGCCGCTGACACACGTTCTCCACCACCTCGATGAACCTCAGGTCCCTGTGGACAAACACAGCAGTTACATGGAGGTGCCAGGATCCAGGCTGGTTCTGGGGAGGAGGCCAGCCGCCGTCCTGCCGCTCTGCAGCTCGCCGTTAGTTCTGCTGCTCAGAGCTCCGGCTGTGAAACGGACCCGGCGCTGCGTGGAGGTCAGCGTCTTCTGCAAGAAAGCCCCGACTGATCTGAGCTCAGCGGCTCAGTGCATCCAGCAAACAGAGAACCTGAGACTCGTGTTCACGTCGTCCAGGTCTGCAGCTGAACCGTTCAGGGAAAACAGCCAATCACAACTCTTCTGACAGTATCAGAGCTGCATCATTGATCCATCGAAAGCATGACGCGTCTGGAGATTACATTTATGGATGAATCACTTCGGTTTGTTTTGGTCTGAAAATGGTGAAAAATGTCAAGAAGCATTTCCTCAGATGTCTTGTTTAGTTCACAACCCAAAGATCTTCAGTTGACCGTCACAGAGGAGGAAAGAAACCAGAAAACATTCACCTTTTACAGCTACGACCACAGAATTTACTCTTCAAACTGTCAAGAGGTCCAGGTCCTTGAAGTCCACAGAGGAGGGTCCAGATTGATCACCTTAATGGACTTTTTCCATCATTTCTGAGCCTCAGAACTTCATCAGTACCGCAGATAGACACATGACATTTAGGAGGAAGAACACATCTGGGTTCTGGTAGAACCTGACACCAGATCAGTTCTACATCCATCCAGGTGTCTCAGTCTGAAGAGTAAATATGACTATATTAGATTTTTTTTTTTTATCCCACAGAATGAGTCCTGTCTATAGATGGTTCTGGTAGGTTCTGGAGGTAAAACGGTCCTTCCATTGTCTAGAACTGGTTCTGACCGTAACACATGCTGATACCAGCCTGGAAAGTTTACCCTCTTTAAAGGTCACATGACTCTGCGCTGTGAATTAGTCTCCCGGGTCAGACAGAGGACCCAGTATAGAACCCTGTGGAACACCACATCAACATTTCTGCTGCTAAAGGCCTCATTTGAACTGAGTCACACCATAGAAATCAAACAAATCCATAAAAAACAAGTCCCCCCCCCCCGACCTCCTCACAGTCAGCTGGTTCTTTATCTACAGTAACTTCAGTATGTTTGCATTTACAGAGTTCTGCCTTCAGACTGTGAATATTCCAGACTTCCAGGTCCTTGAAGTCCACAGAGGAGGGTCCAGATCTGGGTCCTGGTAGAACCTGACACCAGATCAGTTCTACATCCATCCAAGTGTCTCAGTCTGAACACTGGATCTGGTTTCTGTTTAGAGAAAACTTTACAAAGTGCATTCTGGGTAAACGTTCCAGGCTCATATCAGCACATGTGGTGGTGGTTGGTCAGAACCGGTTCTAGACCATGGAAGGACCAGAACGGACCAGGACCATCTTCTAGAAAAAATAATTAGTTACATTTATTTTTCATGCACCTTTTTCGCTGCCAACTAAACTAGAAAATAACCACTTTTGTAGGATTAAAAACAGACAGAACACGGTGAAGGACGTCGGACTGAACCCAGAATAAATCTGTTCTACCGACTGAAGTGCTTCAGCGGCTTCAGAGACGTGAGGCTGCCGAGCTCTGTTCTGTTCTATAATAAGTTCCTCCAGAGGAGCTGAGCCTGACCACGTCCTCGTCCCCCGGCGCCTCCTCCAACCCAGAGACATCCAGAACCATCCGAGCAGCTCCCGCTCCTCCAGAAGCACCGAACTGCTTGATAAATAAAAGTAAAACCCCCACAGAGACACAACACACTTACGACTTGACGTATTTGATGGGCGGCGCCCCCTTGCTGTCGATGAAGCGGTAGTTCCTGTCGATCACCTCTTTGGTTTTCCCCGTCTCGTCGAACGCCGACTTCATCTCGATGCTGACGAACTTACAGACTGCAGACAGACAAACACAAGAGCAGAATGACATTTTATCAGCTTCTGCCGGCGTTTCTCAACAGAAAAATATGAGGTTCAGCACATTTTTTAGCCTCAGTGATTGGATAAAGGAAAGTAAAAGCACCAGACTGTGTGTTCATGTTGACAAACTGCAGATAGAATAAACAGTTTTGCTCTCAGAGTTTAATCCTGGTTATTAGTTGTTGTTTAATCTGCTGATTACTTTCCTAACTGATCATTTTATCTCTAAAATCACAGACAGCTGCTCGTTTCATTCCATCAAAAGTCGGAAATCTGAAAAATATGAAACCAGAAAACGGGACAGACCAGTGAAAGCATTCAGGAAGACAAACTCATGTGAATATCAGAGGGAGGAACGCAAAGCAGCTGAAAACCCTGAAGGGAAGCCGGAGGATGTCGGACACGCTCAACGTGTTCAAGTGAATTCAAACATGCACAGAACGAGGCTTCATTTATTCCACAAATGTAAAATATTTCGAGCAACCAAAAGCCTCTGAAGCCTGAAAGCAGACGACAAACAACGAGCTGAATTCAGCTTCACATGCTGGATTTTATAGATTCTGTCTCCAGATTTCTTATTTCTAAGCCTCCTAATTAGAACACAAACACCCTCTGAGCCCTCAGCTAACGCTGTAGATGACACTGTGACAGCGACGTGGTTGATTTTGGACCTTTTTCAGAGCGACCAGCTGGTTTTTGCTCTGGTGAAGCTTTCTCTTCCTGATTCAGAGCATCCTGTGAGCAGGCCTGTCGTCTCTGTGGACCAGCACACAGTTAATTCAGTTAAATATAACTATCCTGTCGCTGTCGGGGGCCCCTGCAGGTCCTCGGACCTCGCTTTGAGAACCAGTCGCCGTGACCGCTACCTTCACATTTGTTGGGCAGATGAACCCAGTCATCGTCGGCTGCATCCTTCGCGGCTCCCACCGACGAAACCACCAACAGAAACGACACGCAGGCGGCCGGAAACATCTCTGCGTGGACCTCTTCTCTTTATCTTCCCGCCGGACTGAACAAAACCCCGCAGAGAGCCGATGTTTTCCCGTTTTCACATCCTCCTCCGGCTCGATCCGACAGCGTTCGCTTCCGCGTTGGGCGTCGCGCACGCAGCGCTCGGAGCCAATCGGAGAGGACGAAGTGGCAGCGGCTGGACCAATGAGAGGCCGAGGAGGGGCAGAGAGCGGCTCAAGGGAAGAGGTCTCACTCTGCGCGTGTTTTTCACTCTGCGGCCAAGGAGAGGGTGAACTTCTCATTTACTTCCTGATAAACATGTCTGAACAGGCTCAAATAAAGAACTTCAACAATGTGTTTGTAGAGGATTTAATGGGAAAAAAAGATGTAAATGCAGATGAATATTGTTTATTTGGTTTCTTAAGGGTTTTAATTGTAATTTTTAGACAATTTACTGTTTTTTTTTGTTTTTTTTTACAACAAAAATAGAAAACACGCTGAAGGACATAAAACTAAAAATGAAGGAAGTGAGTACAGCAGCAGCTCAGCTACAGACACTGAAACAGTTCAGAAGAGAACTAAAACCAGGATTATACAGTCGTGAAAATAACATAAAATAAAGACCTGGAATTGGAGCCCAAGTTTAAACTGAATAGTGAGAATTACTTCAGTTGTTGTGATTTCTATTTGTCAGGTGTTTCTTTATAGTTTCTGAAGGAATGTAATCATAAGAAGAGGACACGTTTCTCTGCTTTGACTGTGAAGGAAAGGTTTTGTTCTGGAACGGAAACGAGTACATGAAGAGAAACAGCTGAACTCGAAATCAAGGAAGAACTGAAAACACTTCCATGTGCACACAGCTTATATCGTTGTGCTTTTGTTTTAAAGACACATGCATGATTAAAAAAAACACATCGCTGGTGTCGTCAGTTTTGCACGTATATGTGATTTAAGACGCGATGAGCCTCCAGTGGGGGCATCTGAAGTGTTGCAGCAACAAACTGGACGATGCACAAACACAGAGAACAATAAAACTAGACAGGACATAAACACACTCCTGGACTGGACGTAAACCTGCTGCACTGTTTCTGTGTTTCCTACCTCAGGGTGTAGAAGCAGATCTCGACTTTTCTGCATCGTAAATCTTGCACATACTTTTAAAAATACAATTTCTCGTTTTGCTCTGCTCTTGTATGTTCAGCCAGAGCTGCTTCAGTGTGAACGAGGAGACGTGAGAGACGAGTTAGTGATTCATCTATCTACAGAATAAATTCATTAAGTAGAGACACTAAAACTAAAGAGTTCACGGCACTGCTCATCGTTTTATTGCTGCAAATGACCAAAAAAAAAAAAGCATTTAGATCCTGGAATTATAGGAACACAAAATCATAATATAAGAGAAAATAATATTAATAAGTGAAACCGTAGAAATGTCAGCATTGCAGTTGAATGCAGGGATGCTGCCTCAGACTGGATCACGTCAGTTCTTTATGTCCGGTCTGCTGGATGAACGCTGTCTAGATATCATGAGGAGTGGCTACTCTTTCATGCACACGATATCTTTGGACTGCTGTAATCTCCAGTTTGATCCAGCAGGTGGCGCTGAGCTCAAACACACAGCACAGACAGGCATCGGTGGTTACGTAACATGAAAATACATCTATCTATCTATCTATCTATCTATCTATCGATCTATCGTCTATCTATCTATCTATCTATCTATCTATCTATGACCTTTAAATTGGTGATTTCCATCTGGACGCCTCGTTAACAACCACTTTGGACGACCAGAGTCATCCCGAGCACCGTCCAGATACCAAATCCGCTGCCATAAATGACTGTAAAAACACAACCGGATTCTGAAAACACTGCTGAGTCTCTTTTTTCCCCCAAAACGCTGCAAAAACAACCCTGTAAAATCTGAAGCTTTTCAGACGGTTAGCCAAACTAAAAATGTTCCACTTCTTGAAGCTGTTTAGAGCAGCTTCTATATTATCAATAACTTCACACCGATGCCCTGAGATGAGACATTTTTATAGATTTTCTTTTTGTCAAATTAATTTTTCCTTGAATCCTTAAACACACTTAAAAGACCACAATTTGTAGGAAACGTTTCTGGTCCATAAATGTCGTCTTTCCTTCATCGTTTTAGGCGTTTTAGTGTGAAATTCATTTTAAAATGTCAAATTATGGTATCTGTCTACCTGGAAAATCATTACAAAGAAATAATAACTGAGTTTGATGAAGAAATAATCTCCCCACAGACAGAAAAACTCAACCTGGTGGCTTGAAGTCCCTCCTGGTCACTGATTCAACCCCTAAAAGCTGAAAATATCTAGAAGTTGAGGTGACAGAACATTCCGGTTGTCATCTGTCTCTGATCCTGGTTACACTCATATTCTCGTTCCAGGTGTTTCTCCAGGTAACAAACAGTTTCTTCCAGGTAAACTCACACCTTGATGGCTTTTGTGTCCTGAGATCTTAAAGTTTCTGTCACAACGTAACCGATCGCCTCCTGAAGATCAATAATCTGATTCAATGTCCTCCAGCGTCCTCTTTCCTTTGGGTAAAATATATATTTTAATTTTTGACAAGGAGGCGGAGTCGTGGCTACAGTGGGAGGTGCCTGTGCGTTTGGGGGCGTGGTCAGATAATTTGGGGGAGGAGCCCCAAATATTCATGTTCTGGGTCTGAAGGCTCAGCCGGAGTGAGGAGGGTGTCCAGTTTGGTAGTTTTGTCTCTACTTCTTTGCAGATGACACGTTTCTGTTGGCTTCATTGGACCAAAACCTTCTCCAGGTCTGAGGACACGTTGGTCAGCTGGAAACTGGCGCCGTCCTTCCTCTGGACCGGGCAACAAGACGAGGAGTTTGAGTGTCTCTGGATGTTGTTCGGGGTGATGAGAAGGGGGACGGCAAAGCTCTGGATCTACTGGTCGATCTACAGCCCTCGTCTTTGAGCTCTGAAGAGACCAAACGAATGAAGCTTCCTCAGCTGACGCCACAGCAGAGCTCCTAAACCCGTTTGTTCTAATTAGGATGTGCACCGATGGTTCGTCGCTGCAGCCAGCAGAGTTCAACAGTGATAATCCTCAGACGTCCACCTGTAGACCCGTAAACCAGAAGACACCAGGTGTCTTTTAAGGTGTCTGCAAGAACCTGAGAGCTTCCTGCTCGGTGGGATGAGGTGACGTTGTCCTGTTGGAGGTTTGGAGAACTACAAGTTTGCTTTTGCTGAACTCTGCTCAGCGTGGACCACGTTCCACAGGAGCGTGAACATCTGGAGGGAGCTTACCTTCGCTGGTTTCTCCGCTCCGGCAGCTGCACACAGAGGAACTGAGGGTAGAGCACCTGAACCACGACGCCCTCAGAACTCGGAGTGGCTGCTCTTCGGTGGATTCAGCTGAAGTGGGTCTAGAGGTTTCCTGGGGCAGATCCAGAACTCTGTAGGGGGATTATACATCTGATCCGGCCTGGGAACGTCTCAGGATCAACCAGGAGAACGTTCCTGTCCGGAGAGCTCTGGGTAGAAGCAAAGACATGGATAAACCTGGGCTTAAACGACTCGTCCGGTCTGAGCTCCAACCCGCGGAGGAAGCTCCACACTCGGCTCATGAGCTCCAGAACCGTCCGGCGGGCCTCCACAGAGTCCCCCTGCGGAGGCGACACGTGCGCGACCCTCTTTGTGTTTGTTTGCTTGGACGTGTTCGACTGCATGTGAGCGTTTCAGCGGCTCAGTAATAGTCGGGCCTGTGCGAGAGGTGCTTCAGCGAGCTGCTGCCTGCCAAAAGGACATCAGCTCCTCATCGCACCAGCACCGATCGCTGTGTCTCATAGCAGAACTTGACACTGAGTTGGTGGAGGGGAGGTTGATGTGGAGAGAGAACGAGAAAGAAAAGGAGAGATGAAAGCTGGTTTTTATTCAGCTCTGCAGCCCACACAACGGGCAGCGAGGGCTTTGTTAAAAAACTCTCATCTCTCTCGAGCTCGCTCTCCTTTTCAGCCGTTCCTTGAATAAAATAATAATACATTCAGATTATATAGCAGCTTGTTGAAAAGCTCTCCGGCTCCGCGGCACAAAAAGAGCAAAAAAGAGGAGGCAGCTTTTATCGGTTTAAACCAATGAGCGGCGAAATGCGCGGACACAAAGAGCGCCGCCGACCCGATCCGTGACAGCAGCAACAACCAGAGTCGCTTTGTGCCGAATGAAAGTGTTCTGCTTTGAAACCTGCGAGTTTCAGCCAAATTTTTCAAAAAACTTTCGTGCACCAAATATCAGGAGTTCAGGAGACAAACAGCAGGTGGCGCCAGTTCCCCCCTCAGGTGTCGTTAAAACGCCGCAGAAGAAGAAAATGTAATCTGGACTGATGGAAGAACATCAAGAAAATGTCGTATTTATCTGTAAATTTGAGGAAAATGCAGTTTTTCGGATGTGAATCGATGTTTTTTTTTTACGCTGTTTCCATTTTTAAAAAAATCAAAGACGCCTTATCGAAGTTTATTATGTCGTCATAAAGTGTGTCTCTTATTCTATGCAGACAAATAAACTACGAGCTCCACATAAAATCAACAACATCCTCCTAAACTTCCTCCCTGACCTCTACGGGCTCCGACGGCCTGGAAACATTCAGATATCCGTGGACAGGTTTTCATTGGATGACCCGACCGCTGACTTTAATTTGTGCAGATGATTTGTTCTGAATAAGAATCTTGTAAAACGGGGCTTAAACATGCACGTGGTGTTAACCGAGGCCAGCGCTGTTGTCGAGGCGTCCTGATTCCCATTAACCGCCGCTGACGGGGCCCTGCGTGAGCCGTACAAGCCGCCTCATGAATATGCAAATCCACACAAGCGAATGAAAATCAGTTTCACGGCGCGCTGAGAGGAAGCAGCCGGCTGACGGCCGAGGCCTCCGTCTGGCTTCGGGAGCAGAGAGCGCGTCGCTCTGTCGGAGGAGGCAGTCAGTCAGGCGCCGAGAAACACCCGACTGGATGTCAATTAAACCTCAGAGAGAGTCCTCGCCTCGAACGCTGTCTAAAAATAACCGGAGCTGCAGCGGGAGCAGACGAAACGGTGAAGGTGGCTTCGGTGAGCTTCTTCTCGCAGCAGGTGTTGGGTCCTGATCAGACATGTGG